TGACCATGATTGAGGTTATCCAAATAAACCTCCATCGGAGCGAGACAGCTACCAACGCTCTGATGGCTAAAATCAACACAGGTAAAATACATATAGCTTTAATCCAGGAACCTTGGACGATTCGCAACAAGGTTTCTGGATTAAATCACGTAAATTTCCAACTTTTCTACGCTGATACAGGATCTCGCCCGAGAACATGTATCTTATGTCACAAGAACTTATGTTTTCTCCTCTCAACAGGATTATCAACATCGGATGCAACGGTGCTGAAGCAAGGTCGTGGCAACATATTCCTTGCATCTATTTACCTGCCTTTCGATTCTCCGACACTACCACCAACGTCGGATCTGATGAAACTGGTTGAAGAGGCACAAAGGAAAAATAAGAAAATTGTAATAGGTTGTGATGCCAACTCGCATCATGTAGCTTGGGGTAGTACAAACACCAATCGCAGGGGACAAGCCCTCATGGATTTCTTTAATACTAAAGACTTGATAACATTGAACTTAGGTAATAAAGCTACCTTCGTCAATAGAATCAGAGAAGAAGTATTAGATATAACTATATGTTCAGAAGAGCTTATAAACGAAATTCAGGATTGGAGAGTTTCGGACGAGCACTCCTTTTCTGATCATCGGTACATAAGATTCAAAATACTAAGGCCACCACCAAAGCCGATAAAGTTTCGGAATAAGTCTAAAACTAATTGGACAATGTTCGGGACCTTACTAAAGAACCGTTTAGGTCAGGACACTTTTCAATGTCGAAATAAAGAGGATATAGATGCCAAAGTGGAAACGTTCACAAGTGCCCTGGTTGAATCGTTCGAGGACAGCTGCCCTCTGCGAGAGCGGAGATCTGCCCAGGAAAAACCCTGGGTAACTGGGGAGATCCGGAACCTTGGGAAGACTCTTCGCAAACTATTTAACCGGGCACGGCGTAAAAAGACCGCAGTATACTGGGATGAGTATCGTAATAAACTTGGTGAATATAAGAAAATCGTTCGAAAAGCCAAACGAGGCTCCTGGAAACTTTTCTGTGAACAGGTAGATAGCGTAAATGACGTATCGAAGATAAAAAAATTCCTATCCAAAACTCATGTCCAACCGGAATCTATGATCGATGACACGGGCAGGAGGCTTGAGGATATGGAGGAGACAATGAAACTCCTAATGGATTCTCATTTCCCACCCGGTATATCGAATAACATAGATGAACCGATATTGGAGGAAGGGGAGGGTAACACGGAAATAGTTATTACAACTGACATGGTTAAAGGGGCAATCAAGAGCTTTGCTCCCTATAAAGCTGCAGGGCCGGATGGAATTTTCCCGGCACTTTTGCAGATGGAGGCGGGACTGGTTTCCGTACATCTGTCACAGATATTCACTGCATGCTTAAAATTGGCATATACCCCAGTTAAATGGCAGGATGCAAGGGTAATATTTATACCCAAACCAGGGAAACCTAGCTATGCGACACCTAAGTCCTATCGACCGATAAGTCTTACGTCCTTCCTACTTAAAACCTTGGAACGGATAGTCGATAGCATGGTTAAAAGCAGCATACCATACAATGACCTTAAATATAAGCAGCATGCTTATGTAAAGGGACGATCGGTGGAAACCGCTTTAAATGAAGTTGTCCACTACATAGGTGAATCTTTCGATAGCAAACTGTATACACTGGCAGTATGCATTGACATCGAAGGCGCTTTCAATAACGTGCACACTGATACCCTTATCCAATCCCTAGACCAGTTTTATGTTGACCGGGTGCTCCGTAACTGGATCAACTACATGCTAAGGAACAGATGGATAAGCTGCGAGATGTACGATATAACTATAAGGAAAAAGGTATTTCGAGGTATACCACAGGGTGGCATTTTGTCACCTTTACTCTGGGTCACCACGATTAATAGCCTCCTAAGGACCCTAACCGAGAAAGGACTTAGACCTGTCTGCTATGCAGACGATGTCGTAATACTTTTAAAGGGAAAGGATCCAAATTACTTGTGTAGAAGAGCTGAGGAGGCTCTGAATACGGCCTTGAGCTGGGCTCAACCGAGAGGCCTCAATGTTAACCCGGCGAAGACGGAAATCTGTCTTTTCACAAGAAAGACAAAAATTTCTACATATACTGAACCTTGCTTCTTGGGCAAGAAGATACCGGTGACAGACAAAGTTAAGTACTTAGGTGTAATACTTGACCGGAAATTAAAATGGAGACACCACATAGAGGATAGGATCAACAAGGCACATCGGTGCTGGGCGATATGTAGGAGAACCATAGGCATGAAATGGGGTCTTAGTCCTACTATGACAAATTGGCTTTATAAAAGTGTAATTAGACCAATTCTAGCTTATGCTTCAATAATCTGGTGGACTGCTTTGGACAAAAAGTGTAATATCAAATTACTACAGGGAGTTCAGCGTACATGCTGCTTGGGTATAAGTGGTGCCATGTGTACTACTTCAACCAAGGCTCTGGAAACGTTGCTAGATATTCCACCCATTGAAACATATATAAGATATGAGGCGGCGCTTACAGCCGAACGGCTCTTTACTTTAGGCGAACTGGCCAGAAACGGTTATAGGACACGTCATCAATGTATACTGGACACATTGGAAGGTTATACACATTCATCGGACGTGCCTGATCGCATACCAGACACTGAATATGTCGGAAACTTTGAAACGCTAATCCCAGATAGAATGTCTTGGTCAAGCGGAACATTAGAGCAAATACCAGTAGGAATCCGTTGCTACACGGATGGCTCTAAATTAGGGGACAAAGTGGGTCTGGGGTTCTATATTGAAGACCCAGAAACAGAAATATACCACCGTTTACCTAATCATAACACAAGCTTCCAGGCAGAAGTACGAGCAATAACGGAATGTGTAAATTGGATTAGAATAAATATGGCGCCCACAGGGCTTAATATATTTACCGACAGCCAGAAGGCAATTTGTGCGATATCAGGTGATAGAATTAAATCTAAGACCGTATTGGATTGTAAGAAAGCTTTAACTGAATACTCTCCCAGAGGTAAGGTTCACATCATATGGGTACCAGGCCACTCGGGAGTAATCGGCAACGAAAGGGCGAATGTAATAGCTTTAAAGGGAAGGGAGCTCGATGTAGTTAACCTGACAAACGCAAAACCATTCGACGCAACAAAAGCTGAATTAAAAATATGGATGAGAGAATCCCATAAGGCCTCTTGGAATAATGAAACGGTGGGTAGAACCACAAAGATTCTATGGGGTGACCCTGATGAGAGCAAGACGAGAAATCTTCTCAAAATGAGCAAGTCTGAGGTTAGTATGATGGTACGTATTCTCAGTGGACACACAGGATTACGAGCACATCTATACAAAATTGGACGTGCGAATTCAGACGAATGTAGAGCATGTGGAGAGGACAGTGAAACTCTGGAGCACTTTCTTTGCCATTGTCAGGCATTCGTCGAAGTTAGATCCAAGTATCTTGGAAGTGATGTTATTCCGGAAATAACATTCTTAACCAACACCGATTGGAAGATTCTTAGGAATTACGTCCAGGAAACTGAGTTTCTGAACATTCAGTAAACAATTTTTTTTTTTTTTTTTTTTTTTTTTTTTTTTCTTGAATTGGAGCGCACAACAGGCCCGATAGTGGCCTAGGTGTATTTCTTCGGATTTGATGTAGTATACATCCTCCTATCAACCTAACCTAACCTAACCTATGGCAGACTAGAGGTATTAGTAGCACCTACCAAGATGATTGCACTACACCAAGATGAGGGTCTTTCATCAAGGAAACATGCCCAGAAGGGAGCTCTTCGGTATCAGTCTTTTGACCAACATTCTCTTCCCGCGACTGTGGGTTTAAACCACGCCGATTTGACCTCTCCAATTACCAAAACAAGAAGAAGACAGAAACTTTGACCTGTGTCCCAGATTATAAGTCTCGATGATTCGATACCATCTCAAATTATTCTTAGGAAAAACTATGGATACATTTGACACCACCAATTTATATTCCAGACAGACTCGACGTATTGGTAGTACGTCTTTTTCCCCGGATTGCAAGATCATCTTGGTAATATGTTAAGAAAACTTGATCTGTATTTCTTTATCACCATGAGTAATTAGTCCAATGTTCCTATTTGAAACCGAGTTCCATAAGGTACATTCAGGTTTAGATCCTTTGTTCCAACAAGCTGGATATGTACAAATTCCAATTTAAGATGCTAGTATTAGACTTCTTCACTTAACTTAATTGTCGAGCCCTTTCAAATCATTCGAAATGGTTTGAAATGTTACAAGTATACATCATTGATTCCGATCACAGATATAACCAGATTATCCCCACTAAATATTGTCCATACGATTCCCGACCTTCCACATACATATGTACTTAAGTCAGTGTTAAAGACTCATGATATTAAGTACTTTATATCATATTAAAGACTGATGAAACGAATTTTCTGTATAATATATTTTCTATAACATCATGTAGCAGACATGGGTCTAAGTGGATATCGGTTTCGTAATAAAGAGTCCCTAAGAGGTGTCAATTGCAAAAACCGGAACCATTTTAAAATGACAACTTTCTAAGAACCAATCACAATATAATTTATATAAAATATTGTAAAATATGCCTCAGTGAGTACATATAGTACATCGGTATTCTAAAAGGATTTACAGTGTTAAACATTTTAATGCACAATCACACACCACTAAACACTCACTACTTAAACACACACACACACCATCACCACTTATAATTTGTATTTTAAGTTTTTGTAAATTTATTTATTGAAATTATAAGTTTCACTTATTTTTAAGTTGATTTCTGTTTTTTTGTTTTGTTTTACTATTTGAAAGCATTCAATTTAAAACGCTACTAGCAATTCCAAAATACAAAAATCCCCCTGCACTGTTTTATTCAAAAATACCCAAGCCGATCAACCCATCATCCTCATAATATCATCACCATAATTGTATGAATTTCAGCAATGGGCAGTCCATACTACAGAGACATGGATGAGCCAACAAGTCCCGCGGGGGCGGGACATCATAGGAGTCGTAGTGCCAGTAGACCAGTAATGTCACATGGACTTGACTATCCAAGTAAGTTAATATTAAAAAAAGTACTTAGTATTTGATAAATATTTTATTTAAAGATATTTAGGATAACTGCTTCCGAGTTTTTCAAAACTTTTCTGATTTATAGTTTAAAACTAAAATTTTATTTTATTTTTGTTTAGGAGCCCCTAGATATCAATCATTGGATAGAGGTGGATTAGTAGATCATCATGATCGTGAATTCATACCCATACGTGAACCACGTGATCGTTCCCGTGATAGATCCCTCGAAAGAGGCCTTTATTTGGAGGATGAATTGTATGGACGTTCAGCTAGACAGAGTCCAAATCCTTTAGGTAACACAAACGCACACATACTTTCTTAATAAGTTTCTTTAAAAATCTCTAATATCGATTATAATTTATTTGCAGGTTTTAATACCGGTATGCCTACAGTGGATCGTGGTTATCATCTGGGCGATTTGCAACATCAGAATACAGATTTACAACGGGAATTGGCACAACTTAAACGTGAACTCGAGTTGACAAATCAAAAACTTGGCAGTTCCATGCACAGCATTAAGACATTCTGGTCGCCAGAACTGAAGAAAGAGCGAGCGCTGCGCAAGGAGGAGAGCGCTAAATATAGTTTAATCAATGATCAATTGAAACTATTAAGCACTGAAAATCAAGTGAGTATTTTTCGTATTGTACATAGAATCAAACTGGCATTCTGATTAGAAACAAAGTCAAATTATAGTGGCAAGACATAAAGTCTGGGGCTAAGTTCGGGCATTCGAATTTTATATAATAAAAGAGTAATGTTTGTAAGTTTAGGTATTGGCAGGTGGCCATGAACAGCATTACTTGGATCCAAGTTGATCCCTTTGTAAGAGCAAATCAAGAGAAGAGAAAAATAGAGATAGCCGAAGGAGAGATAGAAGAGATATAAGGAGAGATAGAAGAGATATAAGGAGATAGGTAAATCAACAGTCTTGGCATATTCTGATGATCACGTTCAGAGTTTTGAGAATTTTAAGTTCCAGCCAATTTTGACAAATTTAAGAATGCAACAAATCATTCTAATGAAACATTCGATAGATCCGATCATTGAAGAAGGTCGTGCATACAATTCGGTTTCGACCCATTGCTATGACTAGGCAGTTACAGAGGAGATGGACTACTGTTTCATCTTCATCCTCATTGTGATAACTTCTACTAGCATGGTTACCAAATTTACAGTGACCGCTAATGGCCGATACCAGATGTTTGTTAGTAATCGATTAACTCTGGACCTATGGAAGCTAATGAGACAAAATTTCAAATATGTTTTCCAGGGATCATAAGAATGTTTCCGTATAGTATATAATTTGTCCGATTGATGGCAAGAATTTGTCCTTTGAATGCCAGAATTTGATCGCTTTTGTATGCCAGAATTTGACCCCTGAGCTTTTGAGACCCTAGATCTCTGCTTTCGTGTAGTATGTTTGATTTGGAAACAAACCTGGAATTCTATTACGCCTGTGCGACTGTGAGATATCGGCAAAGAGCTTATTATTTTTTTTAATAATTTTATATGTAATCTTTCTTACATATGTTCAAGCTAATGAACTGTCTGTAGAAAAAAAATCTTGTTACAACATTTTGTATTCTTTTATTTTCTCTTTACACCAACTTTAGAAACAAGCCATGCTGGTGCGTCAATTAGAGGAAGAACTACGTGCACGTATGCGTCAGCCAAATATAGAGATGCAACAGCAAATTGAAGCTGTTTATGCTGAGAATGATCATTTGCAACGTGAAATTAGCATTTTACGCGAGACAATTAAAGATTTAGAATGTCGTGTCGAAACACAAAAACAAACTTTGATTGCACGCGATGAAAGTATTAAGAAATTATTGGAAATGTTGCAGGCCAAAGGCATGGGTAAGTAGTGGGTTTACTTTTACTCTGTGTTATTTTTATATTCAATGTTGCTATCAATTCAGTTGTACTAACAAACTAAGAAACACTCAAGTGTACACATGTATTTATTTATTCATTTGAACATAAATATTTAAATTGTTTGTGCATAAATAAAATTGAGGTTACAAATGTTTACATAAGTTTAAAATTATTGAAAAAATATCTACATAAATGTACTACATAGGTGTAGCCAATAGACATGAGAATGTAATACAGATGTTGTATACCAAGACTTTTAACAGGATAAAAAAAGATTCAATTGAAATTTAGTAAGGTAAAAGATTTATTAATAACATATAAATGCTATATTTAATCTTTTTAACATGAATTTTACACTGAAAGAAAGAGTAATATTTCTTATATACATAGTTTATTTTATAACATACAACCAAATATGCTACCAGATCATAAAAAAATATTTTTATTTTTTAACAAAGTATAATGAAGTTTTCAACGTTTTTTAAAAAGAATTGTAAAAAGCTCAAATATTCCGAGAATGGCATTTTGCACAATTTTACTAGTTCAGTTCTAGTTCTAGTTAGTTCAGTTCTAGTTCAGTTCTAGTTCAGTTCTAGTTCAGTTCTAGTTCAGTTCTAGTTCAGTTCTAGTTCAGTTCTAGTTCAGTTCTAGTTCAGTTCTAGTTCAGTTCTAGTTCAGTTCTAGTTCAGTTCTAGTTCAGTTCTAGTTCAGTTCTAGTTCAGTTCTAGTTCAGTTCTAGTTCAGTTCTAGTTCAGTTCTAGTTCAGTTCTAGTTCAGTTCTAGTTCAGTTCTAGTTCAGTTCTAGTTCAGTTCTAGTTCAGTTCTAGTTCAGTTCTAGTTCAGTTCTAGTTCAGTTCTAGTTCAGTTCTAGTCAGTTCTAGTTCAGTTCTAGTTCAGTTCTAGTTCAGTTCTAGTTCAGTTCTAGTTCAGTTCAGTTCTAGTTCAGTTCTAGTTCAGTTCTAGTTCAGTTCTAGTTCAGTTCTAGTTCAGTTCTAGTTCAGTTCTAGTTCAGTTCTAGTTCAGTTCTAGTTCAGTTCTAGTTCAGTTCTAGTTCAGTTCTAGTTCAGTTCTAGTTCAGTTCTAGTTCAGTTCTAGTTCAGTTCTAGTTCAGTTCTAGTTCAGTTCTAGTTCAGTTCTAGTTCAGTTTTAGTTCAGTTCTAGTTCAGTTCTAGTTCAGTTCTAGTTCAGTTCTAGTTCAGTTCTATTTCAGTTCTAGTTCAGTTCTAGTTCAGTTCTAGTTCAGTTCTATTTCAGTTCTAGTTCAGTTCTAGTTCAGTTCTAGTTCAGTTCTAGTTCAGTTCTAGTTCAGTTCTAGTTCAGTTCTAGTTCAGTTCTAGTTCAGTTCTAGTTCAGTTCTAGTTCAGTTCTAGTTCAATTCTAGTTCAGTTCTAGTTCAGTTCTAGTTCAATTCTAGTTCAGTTCTAGTTCAGTTCTAGTTCAGTTCTAGTTCAATTCTAGTTCAGTTCTAGTTCAGTTCCAGTTCAGTTCTAGTTCAGTTCTAGATCAGTTCAATTTCAGTAATATGAATATATTTCTTTCAGTCAAGGCTATGGGTCATTTAGAGGTTGACTAAAAACAAACTGTGCCGTTATCCCGTTTAGGAATTGGCTTATAGTTATAACTAATACATGAAAGAAGAAACTATGACGCCGATGCTTATTTATTTATAGGCATCGGCGTCCAACATCCCTCGGCGAACTATTGGATCAGTAAGAATTGTGTAGGGGACAACCTGGCCATCATGTAGTGAATTGTGCTTTTTACCAGTAGATCAAAAAAAAAAAAAAAAAATTGTTCTGTCACATGAGGTATTAAGTGAGGATGTTTATATAGCTTAATGAAAATTGGCATAAAGACCTTTCCTTGAAGTCCCCAATAAGGAGTTAAAGTCCCCATTAATCACTTGTGAACAAATTGGCTGTCAAAGATCACATTATTTAAATTTTTCCTATAATTTTATTAGATAACTAGCATACCCTGGGTGCTTCGCTACCCTAACACTACCTAAATACAAACAAAATTTTGTTTTCTTTTACAGAAAATTAAAATTCATTCAAAAATTGTTTAATGTTTCAGTTTTTACGTACAATATCTCATGAATAAATTCGCATTCAGGAAGAAGCTTGTATTTTTAGTTTCATTCGTTTAGCTTCCTCATTATAAAAAATTTCGAAATTACTATTTGAAAAAAAGTACAATAAAATATCTCTTATTTAATCAAATATTTTATGTTTCTGTGTTCAATATTATAAACAATTCAAAATATATAATTTGATGAATAAAAAAGTACCAAAAGTCCCTTTCAGTAGATTCTCATTCACTATATTCCCTACATTTTAAATTTTATATTTCTATGTTCAATATCGTAAAAATATGAAAAAGTACAATCGCAAAAATGAAAAAGTACAAAAATCCTGCTCAATAAATTCTCATTTAATAAGTACCGTGTGTCATGTGTTCGAGTTAATCATTATAGAGACTCCAAAAGGTACCATTTGAAGAATGGAAAAGTAGTTCCCACTTACAGAATATTATTCAGTCAAGACCATGTATATCAAAATTTAAGTTCCCAGGTTTAATATTTTAGAAAATTCAAAAAGTACCATTTATGAAATAAAAAGTACTAAAAAGTTCTCTCTTAAAGTGTCTTATTCAATGAGGACCGTGTATGTTTAATAATCATGTATTTGGAATTCATATTATAGAACATACAAAGAGTATCATTTCAAGAAAGAAGAAAAGTACCAAAAGTGGAACAAATTCTACCTTAGTGGAAAGTACTAATAAGAAAAGTACAATTTTTCACCTTTTTGCATAGAAATATGCTTTACAAAATGTTCCGTATTTAAATCTATATATCCCAGATAAAACTCAAACGATTCAAATCTGCATTTATTTGTCCCAGAAAAAATGTGCTTTCAAAAAGTACAAAACAATTTACTCGAATTTGATCCTATATAGGCTTTAGTACTTGAATTCCAAAATAATATACCAATAGCTTATTTTGTGTGAGTAAATAAAATACTTTTTCAAATTTTATAAAAATTGGCTCAATGAGTTTGAATAAAATTAAATTTCCCGTTTTTCCCCTTTTGGAACTTTTTTCCCCAGTAAAATAGCAAACATTTTGTTTCAGAAAATATTACAGAATTAGTCCGTAATTTAATAGGAATACTTCAATAAATCGAAAAAGTTTTCTTAATGTGCTAAAAAAAAAGTACCAAAAATACAGTTTTATCCTTTTTACACCCAAAAAGGGCTGAATTTTAAAGGTGTCTCCTAATTTTGGGAGATATATTCAAAATATTTACCAAAATGTTATTTTGTTTATTAGTTAAAAAGTTATAAAAGGCCAAAAAAGGTACCAAAATCATCTTTGTTACACATTTTCAACCATTAAAAGTACGAATTTCTATAAAGTACCAGACACCCATCTGCTTATTTTAAGTGTAGATACATGTGCATTTAAAATGTTTCTTGTATCACTAATATTAGGTAAGATAATTAAGAAAACCTGTTTTATCCGTATTTTCCCTTTTTTACCCCTAAATGTACAAATTTCCATAAATCCCTCTTTAGTGGATCTATATAACCAAAAACACATTTACTGTCAATATTTCATGATTCCAGGTTCAGCCGTTTGGGCTGTGCGATGATGAATCAGTCTGTCAGTAACGCTACTCTTTTATATATATAGATAACCCTTGCCTTTAACGAAAATAAATTACATTTTTGATTAACATGCCAGTTTGTTGAAAATGTGTTACATTTTAATGCTTTTTACAGTACATTACAATTACTTACATGATAATAATTTGTAAAAGTACTTTTGGGGGGAGAAATACTCCGCTAGTACAAATCAACAGTATGACAGTTAGTACTTAATACACAATAATAACTAAATATTTATGAAGAGCATTTTTAGTTTGCATGAAATTAATTAAAATTTGATTTATGGAAAATTTATTAATTTAAACATGCCTGCGTTAATAATTAATTGCACGCAACACGCATTACTTTTAGTGGAGTACTTACTATGTATTTATTAACCGCATTATTTATAGAAAATGAAAAAATATTTTAGTCGGGGGGATTTTAATAAAAGGGTATACTTTATCCATAACCACTAAACAATATATCATTTATAGAGGACAATATTAAGAAAATATAACAGATTTAGATCCATATTCTCAAGGCCTTATTCATAATCATTATTTTTTATTTTATTAAAGGTATATAAAATAAATTTTGTATGACAATTATTTTTTTTAATAAACCGGGAGTACCGTTGCGATAAGCATTGAAATAATGGACCTTTGTCTAGCGGTTTAGAAATCTTTTGAAATTTATATATTCAGTAATTTTTATGACTACTGATCAATAATTAAATATTTAAGTGCGTGATAAAGCGTTTTATCTTAGTAATTAGCTGCACTTGTTCATGTAGCGTTTTAAAGTTTGCTTTTTAACTAAATCCATTAGTGTTTCAATATTCATAAAGTGTGTACTAGAATGCCATTAAAAAATATCCATATAGTTTGTTTGAAATTCATTAAAAACTTAATTTAAACATAAGCTTTCGGTTTTTTACTTCATTAATGACACGCAACATGCACTACGACGCTTAAATTGTGAAATGTATTATGTCAACATTTATTAATGAAATATTGAGTTTGTCAATATATCCAGTTGCAGTTTAATTTATAATCTTTAAGACTAAGTTACTCTCACGGATTTAAAATCAGCACAAAGATAATAATGTCTGATACTTCCTTAAGTCGTGATTCGAAATACGGAATATAACTTTGACAATTTATGTATATTTCTACAAAACGAATCGTTCTAGAGGGAATTTTTCACAAATATTCTCATTTTATCAAAAAATTGGTTCAAAGTTTCAAAATTATTTGAATTTCTAATATTAAAAGATTATAAAAATGGGCCGATTTTCAATAGGCTTTGTCCACGGATCAAAAGAAATGCATTTTATTGCATTATCTTGGAAATTGTGACCTTTTTTTACAAAGTTTTTATAAGGATTCCAGCTGTAATAGTTCTCCAGGTATAAATTTGTTTGTATTTACTAAATATGGGTGAAGTCCCATTGCAAGTTCGCCCATTCTCTCCAGAGTTTTTCTCAGTTTTTCTGTGGAATATTCATATTGAATCTAAAATGGTTCTAAAACAAATTTGATGATTCAAGGTGTTATATTTTTTCAGATATGCAATTTTTTTATGGGAGTTGCCACGCCCATTCTATTTAGAACGCCAATTTGTTTTTATATGGATATTTGAATATGGATGTAAAAAGTAGCGTATAGTTCCTTTTATATATACAGAAATATACAGAGGAAATTTCATAGATTTAGATTTTATAGCTCAGCTATAGTTTAGGATGATAGGAAAGAAAGAGCTCTAGAATCATGATCATGATACAATGATATTAACCACAGACTTTGCTCGTTTTAAGGAGCCTTCTCGACCTGCTCTCGTTAGTGTTATCCAGTAGGATGATTTCATACCACCGTTTCATAAGTAACCTTTTTTAGTGGATCTATTTAACCAAAATATTTCTAAATCTCAAAGTTCTAGTTCAGTTCTAGTTCAGTTCTAGTCCAGTTCTAGTTCAGTTCTAGTTCAGTTCTAGTTCAGTTCTAGTTCAGTTCTAGTTCAGTTCTAGTTCAGTTCTAGTTCAGTTCTAGTTCAGTTCTAGTTCAGTTCTAGTTCAGTTCTAGTTCAGTTCTAGTTCAGTTCTAGTTCAGTTCTAGTTCAGTTCTAGTTCAGTTCTAGTTCAGTTCTACTTCAGTTCTAGTTCAGTTCTAGTTCAGTTCTAGTTCAGTTCTAGTTCAGTTCTAGTTCAGTTCTAGTTCAGTTCTAGTTCAGTTCTAGTTCAGTTCTAGTTCAGTTCTAGTTCAGTTCTAGTTCAGTTCTAGTTCAGTTCTAGTTCAGTTCTAGTTCAGTTCTAGTTCATCATCTATTTAGCCAAAATACATCTACATATCAAGAATTAAAGTTAAGAAGTTTAAGTCATTGTCATTAATACGACTTTTTTGTGGATTAGCTAATTAAATATTAATGTATTTTCGATTCCTAAGTCTAATAAAATTTTGAACGAATTCTGAATTTCTAGAAAAATTTGTTTAATAATAATGAATTATATAAAAACCTGATCTTAATAATTTGTATTTTTTTTTTAAATTTTTCATATTAAAATCTAGGCAAAGAAGAAGAACGTCAAATGTTCCAACAGATGCAAGCCATGGCCCAAAAACAGGTAAATATTACAAAAATTTACATTCTAATGACAATTCCGTTACAAATTGTTTTCGGAAAATAAACAAATCTCATTCGAACTAAATTACTGCAGTAATTTAGAAAATAAAAAAAATTAACAAAACAAATTACAAATTTGAACGAAATGATATTTCAAAAACATCTCACACGAATTATAGCAAATTTTATTTTTTTTCAATTTAATTTTTCGATTTTGATTTCTTTACTTTCTTCAATAAAATTGCATACGTGTTGTTTCATTACATTACAAAAACATTTTTATATATAAAAAAATCTAACAATTTATACAAATTTAACAGAATGAAAAAATTTTATCAATTTATTTCTTGCGCAATTTTTCAAAAATTACAAATTAAAAAAAAATTATTTCCTACAAAAATCAAACACTTGTATTGTAGAAGTTGACAAATTAGTTTAAATAGTTTTGATTTTGTTTGAGAAAAAAAAAACAAATGTTATAATTTTTCTTGTTATTTTTTTACTGTTATTTAATGCTACCTTGAATTATCTGTTTTCAGTTACTTTTTTAGAGCTTTTTATTTTCTTAATGTTCATGTATTTATTTATTTATATATTTATACAGACATATTTATTTTGTTAATAATTTAAATATTTGAAATGCTAATTTGTATAACAAATACATTTTATATTGAAAGAGAAATTACATATAATCATACATACATACATACGTATTACACTATACTATACTATACTATACGCACATTTTATGAATTGAATTGAGGAACGAACACAAAATATCTTTATCAGCATCACCCTCATCCCCAGTTTTATAATGATAATGTTTATCATCATCATCATCATGCTCTTCATCTTCATCTTTATGTTTTTAGTTTTTCATTTCAAGATGATAATTTTTTCTGTACACAGATTATTATGAGTCTTGTCTTGAATTGAATTGCATAATTTAAATACAAAATACAAACAAATACAATTTACATCATTTATAAACAATTTGCTGTTTTTAAAAGAAAACTGAGATTCACTTTTTTTGAAATTCGAGCATTTTAAAAAATGTGTAAATAGAAAGAATTCATTTCCTTTTTTTAAATTTTAACATTTTGTTATAAAATACATACAACACAAATATTGTTATTTGAAATTGAAAAAATCTTACTTTAGGACAGGATCGATTAAACTAGGGTCTTACGAAATTGATTCAAGTCGTTTCATAATTTAACGTAGACCACATTAGGCTTTTATAAGTCGACTTTTTGGCGATAAAAGTCAAAGCCTATAACTAAAAAAATCAATAAGACGAAATAAGTCGAAATAAGACGCAAAAAGTCGATAAGTCTAAAGTCGACTATTGTAAAAAAGTCGATAAGTATGAATAACTTATAACAGTCGAAAATAGTCAAAAATTAAAAAAAAAAAATACTTAAAAAGTCGAAATGTTGACTTTTCATAAATTGCAAAAAGTACAAAAGTCGACTTTTTGTTTCAACTTTACAATCATTCTCTCGAATAATGTTCTAAAAAAACTCGATCACATACATATAAGTCGAAAATAGCCAAAAATTCGAAAGGTCGGCAAAATGTAGTAAAGTTGACTTTTTTCTCTAGAATCATGTTGTCAAAACATCATTTGATTTTATTGCAATAGTGACAAGAACGTAAAAACGAAGTCGACTATTTAAAAAAAGTCGATAAGTCAAATATCTTATAAGAAAAAGGCGACTTTTACATAAAAGTTTAAAAAGCCGAAGTCAACATTTTAAGAAGTCGATAAATCGAATAACTTATAAAAAATCGAATTTTACAAAAAAAATCAAAATAATTTGGAAAAAATCGAAAGATCGAAAATAGTCAAATGTTTAAAAAGTCGAAGTCAACTTTTTTAAAAAGTCGATAAATCGAATAACTTATAAAAAAATATTACAAAAAGGTCAAAATAATTTGAAAAAAATCGAAAAGTCGACTTTACATAAATTTCAAGTAGTAGAAAAGTCGACTTTTTGTTTCAACTTTAGAACCATAGTTAAAATACAATACAATTCTCTCTAAAAGTATTCTCAAAATCACTTGAATATGTTTTAATAGTGATAAAAAAGTTTTCTTTGTTAAAAGAAAAAAAGCCAATAAAAAAAGCCAATAAGTCGAATATATTAAAGGAAAGAAGTAGATTTTTGCATAGTCAACATTTCGATAAAATGCTAAAAAAGTCAATTATATTAAAAAAGTCGATTAGTCGAATATCTTATAGGAAAAAAGTTGAGTTTTGCAGAAAAGTCGAAGTAAGTTGAAAAATGTTTTCCTTGATAAACAAAGTCGACTGTATACAAAAGGTCGATTACCTTATAGGAAAAAAGTAGACTTTTAAATAAAAGTGGAAAATAGTCAAAAAATACATAAAAATATTTAAAAAGTCCAAAGGTGGGCTTTTAATAAATTGCAATAAGTAGAAAAGTCGACTTCAACTTTAGATCTTTAGTCCACATATAGCAAATTTCTTGAATAATGCTCTCAAAAAAACCATTTGATAAAAAAGTTTTTCTTGAAAAAACGGAGTATTTCTGCTCCATGTACGATCACTTATAGAGGGAGAAGGTCAACTATGAGATATAGCGCTGAAAATAAAGCCCAGATATTGAGGTTAAAGAAAATCTATAATTTCTTATTTTCCATAAAATTATCAAATAAAACATTTTATATTTCATTGATGTTTTAATTTATTAAAGTTACTTAGCAATAACTACGCATCATTCTATAAATGTAAGGAATTAACAACGAATTAATATGGTTCAGACTAACCTACAGTTTCTCTCAAATTCTCGATCATTCCCACAAGACATCTTGTGAAAATGGTTCTTAACAACCAGCCAACTTGTGGCACGAAAAATGAATCTATTTTCTTAACAGAAATTACACTGGCCGACAAAATCTGAAAAAAGTCGAAACCCTGACTCCAAGTTATACTTTTCTAAATAATTGATCCGTCCTGAATCTGAATAAGATTTTTTCCATCACATCTGGGATTTGAGATATCATGTCCTGAAGTGTGGAAAAAAGCCATTTTTGAGACGTTTTAACAGTGCCAAAGCAACCTTATTTATAAAATGTTGTATGCCATCTGAAAGTCAACTTTAGAATAAAGGATTAATATTTCACATATATTCCTCCTTCTTCGAGATATATTCACCTAAAGCTTGAAAACTTATGGTTTTTATGTCCTACACTACTATAGTGCGGAGGATATTATTCTTTGTAAATATTTTTATAACGAGAAAATATATTGGATTCATACCTATCTGAAGATGTTCCAATCAACTCCAAATTGCTTTCTGATTCGATTTAACCATGTCCGTCAACTTCAACGGATGATATTTCAGTAACTAAAGCAAATTTTTAAACAATTTTAAAAGTATTTTGAGTTGAAAATTGGAATATATAAGTTTTTTCGTAAAATAAAGGCGAAAATTGTCAGTTTTTGTCAATTTATTGTTGCATCAAGCTTTACGTTGTGATATCTCGAAGAAAAAAGAAGATATGTCATGTGTTAAGCTTATATTTAAAAGCTGTTGTATGCTTTCAGATAGCATACAAGACTTTATAAATAAAGTTGTATTGGCGCTGTTATAACGTCTTAAAAAAAATTTTCGGCCTTTGTTATCAAAAGATCGTCTAAATCGTATAAAAAAGAACTTCCATATATAGTGTTCTATAACTCAAGTTATCTTTGTCCTCTTTATGATAACTTCCATAGATGTCATTAAAAACACAACTTAATCCATAAATTTGTCCCTTCAGTTTCTTCCAAAAGCCTCAATAATTATCAGAGGACATCTGTATATGTATATATCCATTGCTGGTACAGAATCCAATGAACACAAGGCACGAAACATACGAAAATTCTTGAAACATCATCTAAAAAGTATTCTAAGGACTACTCTTAACATTTCTTAACTCCTATATAAAGCAGTATAGAGGTAAATAAAATGCTCAACTGTTTTCTGCTTGTCGCCATTATATCTGCTTCTACAAAAGTCATTAAAATGTCGAAGATATATTTTATAACCTGCTGATGTCTTACTCTAGACTCTCCAAGTCCACATTAGCTATTTTGAAAACAGTGGGCTTGAAAAGCTCTAAAACTTTGTATGAACTCTGCTTTTTAAAATGGTGATTTTTCTTAACTTTTCTCTTTTCGAAAAGAATATTCTCAATATATGAATTAAAAATGTTTAAACTGATAAAGTACTTTTTAAATTTAGATTACGTCAGTAAAAAAACAATATTTTATTTGTTCAACTTTGACTTTTCCAGTTATTATTTCATAAAAATTTACATTCTTCCAGAAAAACTGTTTTGAGTGCAAACATCTAAAAGGAATATTTAGAATAAAATTATTTAAAATATTAGTTTTCTTGTCATGTTTTGTTTTTTTTTTTTCTTACTCGTCTAAAAATAAGCTATTAAATTTGAATTAACATTTAGTATGACTTCATGCTAACATTTATTTATTGTATGTACATAAATATGTATTCATATGTATATATCTATATGAGAATATTAGGATGGCTCCTCAAGTTAGGGCCATTGTAACATTTGCTTCTTACATCATCAAGTCGCCGAAGACCATAAAGTGCAAAGCAAATGCGATGCGATCATTTATTAACAAGATCGTGAACTCTTCTTGATGGAAAACTGTAATTTTCCTAAATCACCTCTAATACCAGTTGTGTAATTGTTACTGGGGTTGACAGCCCTTGGGCGATAATTTCGGGTCATTCCGGTACGTAGAACCGGCAGTTGGGGAATGAAACTTTACCAACTTTTACCGGATTTTTGACAAATACATATGTAGTTTGAAACATCCATCTAATAATAATTTCTATAAATGACTTCTAAAGTTCTCTACCGATTTTAACTAAAATTTAGTATACAGAGTGCAATAGCAGGATTTTTGTTTAATTGTTTCCTTTTCAATTGGAAGCATTATTGGCAGATAACTTCTTTTGGCTTCATATATTAGGGTTAACCTTATGATTTATTACAGTGTGTGTGTATATGTATATTTGTTTTAATGTATGTCTCAGTTTTGTTTTTTATATTTAT